GGAGGTGATTGTTTTTTTGTGTTTGTTTTTAGTTGAGTGAACTCTGATGTGGAGTCCACGCGATGCCATTTTGCCGACAGTCTCTGTTGTTTCCCTCTGTCTCATGAAGAAAAAAAAAAAGACTTTCATGAGCACCCATGTTTAGGCTAATTACTTACTTTACTTTTTCATCCTATGTTACCGTTAAGCGTTGAGGGGATATGCAGTTTTCTATGGTAGGCCAGCTCCGCAGCTCTTTCACTTGTGATATTATGTTTTCTCAGGGTTTCCTTGACGCCCTCGATCCTCCTTTTGCGTGGCCTTCCTCTTCCTTTATAGCCTGAGTGCTTGGTGTTGTCGGCTCTCGAGGCTGGCTGGTCAGGTGACATGCGTAACAGCTAGGCAAATTACTATTGAAGTAAAGACAGACATATTTACAAGAATAATTGTTCTTGAACTCACTCAATTATCACACCTTTGCAACAGGCATTTGTGGTGTAGCACTTCGCTGTCTCACACAGGGGAACTGAGTTCGATTCCCGATTGGGTAGGATTTTATCGAATTTCTCTTGTTTTTTTTACGGGGATCCTCTCAGCCTGGGTTGGCCTTAACACACAGGATCGACGCCCAGCACTAGGTGGCCACTATCGTTGAGTCGATATGCTTCTCTTTGCTCAAAACCATAGTATTAGACATTATTATTACTATTACAATAAGGGATACAGGACTCGATATTTGTGAATGACTTAAAGTCTGTGAAATATTTCGCTCGGATCTACAGGATTTTCTCTACTGTTGGAGACCGTTATATTCTTTCTAACGTGCAGCAGTCTGAACCAACTGTCAACTGTTAGAACTAACATTAGGTCAAATGCATGGAAACATATCTACCTGTATTCGGACAATGGATGTTTTGATTTTTATTTTCCGGTTGTGAGTGAAGGTATAGTTAAACATTAAAAAAATTCTTTCTTTTTATCTGTGGGTATCGTTTGCAACTTTGCCTCCTGCACAACTCACACTGTCCAAAACGACCACTCATTGTCTTAAGAGAAAAAGTGGTTGTCTTAGGAGAGAAAGTGGTGGTTGTCTTAGGAGAAAAAGTGGTTATGTCATTGGAAAAAAAAAAACCCGCAAGGAGGGAGGTAGGAGGTAGCCGTTTGTTTAAGTGGATGTCTTAGACAGGTGACCCTTAGGCTCCTAAATTTTACTGATCCAAATAGTGTCGATGAGGGCGTAAAAAAAAACCACATTAAAAAACAGAACTCTTTTGTTTAAAAAACTCGTGATACGGCATTTACTTAAAAAAAACAACCCAAACCAAACAAACACTGATACAGAAATATCCACAAAATATTGGCATGCTTTTATAATATTTTTAAAAGGGCTGTCTGAATGCTTCAAGCATTTGCAAACCAAAAAACCTTACTGATTCTTGAACGTCAACTTTGTCTCAAGGGATGATCTGTCTTTTGAACATATTTAATTTAACAGAGACAATCTGTTATCAGATCGGATATAACACAATCGCTTCTCTAAAAGGATATGTTAAAAACAGCATGGATTCACCTTTTTGAGAATTAATCCGCAAACTGGGATATTTACAAACAGACAGTGTGGATTCCTCCGATTTGAACCAATCAAAACGCCGGATTAATTGCCGCACTGCGTCATGAGCGTAGGCTCAGCCAATCACATGCCGGAATCTCCCCGGCACATTACGTCATCGGCTGAAGACCTGCCCCCTCCGCCGGAGCGCCACCGCGGTCATTGGACGATGAAGCCGGAGGGGCGGGCCGTGCGTAGTCTCAAGACGGAGGCGCTCGTCCATCACCACGCCCCCAGCAGCACGGACGAGGAGGAGGACACGCCCAGATATCCCAGTAAGTCAATGCTTTTTAGTTTAGTTTTGTTTTCAAACAGTTTTAGTAAGAGTTTTACGGCACTTGCAACACAATAAGGTCATATAAGTGCAGAAGATTAGAGGTGTTAATGTTACAGGAGAGTAACAAACACAAAAAAGAAGGAGGGGAGAGAAGGACGATAGATGTTTGATAGGAAAGAAGAATCAAACCACACCAGAGGACACGCCCAGATATCCCAGTAAGGGAATGCATAGGGTATAAGATAGAGCTTGCTGTCGTCCAGCGGGGATATGCACTCTTATTATTATTA